TATATATATATATATATATATATATATATATAATGTGTGTGTTGACTTGTTGAACTGAACATGAACTGTTTAGGGACATTAAATCTACTTGAAAGTCATAAAATATGAATTATATAGTCTACTTGGCAGTATAACTCTACAAATATAAATATATGGATATGAATATATAGGATCTCTCTCTTTCTCTACACACGCGTGGCATGAATACATTTTTATGTATAATATATAAAAATAATTTACATGCTGTATATGCAAATATAGGCGTATACACATAATATGGGTATACCGAAAATTTCTTTGTTTTTTCCTTGCAAAAGTAGTTGAACCGAAGCCCACCTGCCGAAGTGGCTAAATCGATAACCCACCTCCCGATCCGATTATGTTTGTTCTTTCCTAAAGGATAGCTTAGCCCATATATGCGAGGGAAGTTATCCGAAAAATGAATCATGACTAGTAAAAACATCTGTCAACTCTTTATTATACTTGAGACTCGATCTCTTCACACAAGCACCAGGGATGGAGATCATACCGACAACACCTGACACCCACATCGCTATCTTTTTATCAAAGACATCAGATAAAGAGCATCATATTGTACAGGATGTACTACGCGGATTATTTTATGGCATTTTTCCTTTATGTACACTAGAGGAAAGAAGAGGTGGGGGGACTCTCTCTCTCTCTATCTGGGAAGCTCCGAAGGACCACACTCCGACAATTGATCAGAGACAATAATATAACACATTTCCAAAGATTCCCCCTTGAGATTTTAGCCTATCTCTCCCTCTTTCTATGATGTCTCCTCTCGGAACTAGATCTTTCACCAAGCTGTATGTACTCAGGAACAATAAGAAACTCTACGTCCTAAAAAGGATTCAACACATACATATCACTCAATTCTTGTATATTTACATTTTACATACCTACCACCTGAACTTTAAATTTTACATGCATAACAACTTCCTTATACATGAAAATATATATTTCTCTCTTTAAAAGTTAAAATGGTCTTATCTTATATGTGATGTGATAGATTTGGGTGGTATAATTATAAAAAGCAAAATTTAGTTGTTAGATATATAAATACATAGCAATTGGGTTGTATGTATGTAAATTCCTCTACATATAATTAGGGAAATTGAAAATACAAATCACACAATTCTTATGTATTTACAACCCCCAAAGTATGATATTTACACTTAATAACACATTGTTGACATAAACCTATAAGCATGAAAAGGTGCATTTCACTTCTAAAAAGATAACGATGGTGGCATTTTTTATATGATGTTAAAGATTCGAGTGGCATGCATGTAAAAATGAATATTTAGGTGTTACATATTTAAATACACAAGAATTGTGTGGTATGTATGTAAATGGCCTGTATAATTAATGAGTCCAACAAATATACAAGCTCATAAAAAGTAATTTAATTCGAGTAAAAATTTGAGCTGTAAATGAACAATGAGAGCCTTTTTGAAAGTTAAGAGTTGAAGGTCTAAGAAATCAAACCTCAAGTTTGTCGAGTTTTCTAACAGCCCTGATGCTCTCCCTCGACACGGCTCCTTCCGGCCAGTTCAAATGGGCCCCACGTTTGAAATATTTCGATGCAGAACTACTGTATTTGATGACAAAATATTAGCATTAGAAGGAAGCCTCAGTATATAGTTATAGAAGATCATGATTACTATCTAGCATCAAAGAGGAAAGAGAGCTCTGAGTAAAGCTGTTCTAAAATAGAAGTATGAAAACAAATGAACATAATATATTGCCAAACCGGGAAAGCTATAAGAATAAAAGGGACCATTTTCGTGGGTGGCATAGTATCAATAAATGACAATGAATTTACATATCTAACACCTAAACTTTACTTTTTACATTTATGCCACCCAAATCTTTGATACACATAAAATATATTGCTACTTTAAATTTTAAATGGTGAAATACACCCTTTTGGCATAGGCTGGAAGGTATGCATGTAAAAATTGAAGTTTGGGTGTTCAAAGTGTAAATACAATGGCGGTATGTATGTAAATGTTTCTATTAAATTTAGGGGCATTTACATCATACGACACAATTCGTATAAATTTATATATCTAACACCTACGTGTGATATTTACATGCATACCACTCAAGTCATTAACATCATATCAAAAATACCACTATTAACATTTTAAAAGTGACATTACATAATGTAAATCTTAAAGTTTAGTTGTTATATGTGTAAATACATAAGAATTGTGTTATATGTATGCAAATCTTCCTACATTTTATTATTTAAAACTTATTTATTAAATTCAATTAAATTAGGACACTGTTTGATGATGGCCAGTGAAAACAAGACGTGTTCGCTTAAACTATGATTGTTCAAGACCTGGGCGGTGTACCATTTGGTTCAGTTCAAGTATCTAAATTCATTAGTACTTTATAACTGCTACTGTTGTGTTCCCATTCTTTCACCGCTGCCGGATCAAAAAACTAATTTGCTGCCTTTATGAAGTTCTTGTAGGGAATTATAAATAAGAATACTAGACAATTTTACATACACAGAACTCAATTCTTATTTATTTACACATCTAACAGCTAAACCTCAGCTTTTACAGTCATACCACCTAACCTATGGATGAAAAAGGTGTTTTTCACTTTTTAGAAGTCAACATGTAGGTATTTTTGATTTGAAATGAAAGATTCTGGTGGTGTAAATGTAAAAAACAAAGTTAAAGTGCTAGATATGTAAACAAACAGGAATTGGGTGGTATGTATATAAAATGCCCCAATATTATGCAAGGTTTATCGGTTTGCTTCTCAAATGGCTTTAAAGGAGAATAAACATAAATTAGGAAGCCATTTGGGATCACTTTTGATTTTGATTTTCTAATTTCTGTTTTAATTTTTTTTTTGGTTTATGTTTTGAGTTGAAACAAAATATGTTTGTCATGTTTAATTAAGATATGATTGTCTTTTAAAACATTTAAAACAGACAAAAGTTAATTAGAATGCTTTTATATATATATATATATATATGTTTTTAGAAACAATATATAAAAACACATTAAACAAAAATGTTCATAAAAACAAAGGAGAAATAAAAAACAAAAACCAAAAACAAAATTGATCCCTAACCGTAAGCTATAATTCACGAACAAATCTTATAGGAGAATTTACATATATGTATATGTATTAAATAGCATTACAATCATTCTAATCAGACTATCACACCTATGATTCATGCCATTGAGGAAAAAAATAATGGTATCTCTTCTGATACTTGCTACATGCATGCAGATTCAATTAATAAACGATTGTTCATGAATATTTGTTAGAGAATGTTTTCGATGTAGAAATAAATGGCCTCTAAAATATCAATCTACATCTGATTAATGTAAATTAGAATATATGCATGTATTAGATCACCATTATGAACCTGAATATGTGATTGCATAAGAGTCGGAATTTGAAATTGAAAGAAAATTTGATAAGAAATCATGCGTGAACATATGAATTTACAATATAAATTAAATCTACACCTGTACATAAAACTTAATCAATCAAATCTACTGCATTTGTTACTATTAAATGAAAAATGATTCATGTAGCCGACCCCACTTATTGGGATAAAAGCTTCTCGTTGTTGTTGTTGTTGTATATCTACTACAGTTAATGAATCCAGCAAGTAATTTGATAAAGTAACTTTTGATGACTTATTACCCTTGGACACCTTATCGAATTGATATTGATATTTTTTTTTCTTGGTTTAGTGGCATGTAAATTCAAAGATGTAACTTCATGGAGTGAATTAGGTTGCAATGATATTTTAAGGAATTTGTTAATGATAAATGTATTAAAACAAATCTAAAATTTAAAACTCATCTTATTTGGACAATTTTAAAAGTGCAAAAATCAACAAAACTTATATTAAATCATTTGGTTTAAATTTTTTAAAAAGGTTATCCATCCATATAAACATTATAATTATGTGGTTTGTCATTTTTCTTATTTCTTTACCACCTAACATATAGGAAGCAATTAAAGGTCATTGGCATGTCCCTTAAAACAAACATTAGTCTTGTACAATTGTTTTAACTTCATTGTATTTTTATGGTTTATTTAACTTGCATAAGGACATTGAAAGAAAATTGACAAGTATGATAACTAGGAGTTTTTTATAGATCTAAATAGAAGACACAAGATTTAAACTTGGTGATGAAGTAATAGTGCGTTTAAATTCAGAAATGCTTTCATTAAGAACCATTAAGAAATTAAATGTAAAAAATAAGGGTTATATGAATATTACAACACATTATAATTAATTCCTACAACTTAGAAATTTGCTAGAAATTATATCCATAAGCTAGTTTTGAAGGCGTTCAATTTGGCCTCATTTCATTAATAACTACCGCTTCCATAGAATCTCTCTTTCCATCTCATAAAATTTGCACCAAATTTTCAGCCACACACCTCTATACAAAATATTCATAAAGTTCTTTTGAATTATGAGATTCTTTTCACCATCAATGGTGAATTCTAGCTATAGCTTGATGAAAAATTAAATTTTAAATTCATCGAAGCCAAATTCATCTAAGGAAGTAGATTTAAAGATGAGTTCATACTAATTGGAGAAGTCAAGTCAATGAATGATCCAAGAAAAATTTTATTTAGTTTTATCATTGGGCGATTATTAAAATGTCAATGAGTGAGGCCTATGAAAACAAAATGCGTTCTATGAATCATTTTTTTTTTACTGTAATTTTGTGAGCAATTGGATGTCAATCTGTCAAAAGACCAAATTATGGATGTCATTCTATGCTATGGTTAACTTTTTTTTCTTTTATGTAATTGTAAATATTATGTTATTGGCTTTACTAGGTTTCTAGATTTTATTTAAATTTGATACAAGTGAAATTATAATTGCGCAGAATCTTTTTCAATATTACGTTCAATTTTTCTCATTGATTACTATTGATTTATTCAATCATTACATTATTGTTTGGTTTATAATTCTCGTATTTTCTAATTTTTATAATAGGTGAGCTTTTGATAATTAGTAATATTTTGACATATGAATCCTTAATTTCTTTATCTCATCTGCATTTTGCAATCATTATATTATTCTAATTGCACTGGGAAACTTAAAGCTTAGAAAGTCCTACAACAGTGAGCCTCTTCTCGGGCAGCTACACAACAGCCGTTGCCAGCAACCATTGCCTAAAAGTTCTGCACAAATCAGAAATTTGCAAAACCATCTAGTAAATCTCATTGTTAGGATCCAATGTAAATTTTCATAGCATATTTAGAAAACGGCACAGAGACAAACACAAAAGCCAGTAGTAGGGAAGTCCGTAGAATTTTCTAAAAGCCAACAAGACTACATCAAATAAACTTCCTGTACCAGCACTAGGTGTGTAAAAGTCGAACTTATGTATGAGCCAGCTTGGGCTTTGGTTTGATAAGTGGCTCGTGAGCAAAGCTTGATGACCTAACAAGTCAAGCTCAAACCAAACCCGACTCGACTCGTTAGCTTAAGAGCCGGCTCATTTAAAAAAATATTAATATAAAATATACTCAAAATATATTAAAATTCAAAACTTTATCTTTAAATTATTAAAAATGTATAAAATTGATATTTTACATTTTTTTATCAACTAATATATAATTATTTATCTCCTAATTGCTCCCTCTATTTGTCAATACTCATTTTATTATAACATTAAGTTGAATTAATATTACTTTCTCTCTTTCATGATAAACAAAATAGCTCGTGAGCCAACTAAAATTCATAGAATTGAGCTCAAGCTTGGGCTTGAACTTGAACTTGATTAATAATTCAAGATTAAGCTCAAGCCGAGGGTCGCTCAAGCTCGACTCGACTCGTTTACACCCCAAACAGTAACATGTTGAACATTCATTGTTGCTAATATGACGTAAAAAGTTAGGGCATAATAAACAAAATTCTACAACACAAGTTGCTTAGAACTGATAACCAATCACCATAAATGAGTGCATATAAAAATATAACTCAAATTCGAATTAATGGCCGACACTTGACATATTTGTTAGGACTATACATCAAAACTCTAAGAAAACGATTATGTCAAGAAAGACGTCACAAGTTTAATCAAAATTAACAGTATATATGCACCAATTTTTCACTCTAAAAAAGGATACTTACTTGGATCCTCTAACCATATGCTCCGGCATTGGTCCCAAAACTCTTTCCATCATCGCAAGGTGCTCTAAATTCTCATGAGTTTGAAACAATGCTTCACCCTGCAGGCAGAGAAACGTCGGATAGGGTAAAGGGTTTCCTCTAAAAAAAGATGTGATGCAACGTAAAACTAACCGTACAAAGCTCAACGAGTATACAACCAATGCTCCAAATATCACAAGGATAATGCCATCCCAAACCTGAACCAAAAATGTTTCAATCGCAAGCTAAGAATCCATGACAAAATGTATTTCTAATAATAAGAATAGCATATAAAAATCCAATCCATGCGATGTAACAAAAAATATTCTCAATCAATAAAGGAGGAGCTTACATAGCTCCAACATTACAGCTATAAAAATTAAAAAACAAAAAGGTATTTCATGTTTATGAAGTAGGAGGCGAGATTTTTTTCCTTTTTTGGGAAATTTACATACATACCACAAAATTCTTATGTATTTACATATCAAACATTTAAACTTTCATATTTACATTCATAACACTTTGCTGCCATAAACCTATGCATGAAAAAAGGTATATTTCACTTTTAAAAAGCAAGCACTAGTGGTATTTTTTACGTTATGTTAAGGATTTGATGCTCTGTTTGTAAATAAGGAAGTTCAGGCGCTAGATATGTAAATACATAAGAATTGTATGGTATGAATGTAAATACCCCTTTATTTGTTGTTGTTTGAACAGGACAACCCTAGTTATAGTCATCTGCCGGCCAAAAAAAAAACTTCTAAAACATTTAAAAGATAACCCAAAGAGCTAAACAGGTGAGTCAAGAGCCACAGGGAACTTGAGTTCAAGATTTTGTTTTTACAATTACAACAAAAATAAAAATAACCATGAGTATGTAGAGCAAAGAAACAAGGATAATCAGAAATCAAATACCCTCGTCTAAGGTCTTCAAAGTAAATTTTGGGTAAAGATTTCGGAATCTCTATATAGAACTGTACAGTGATGGATAACAAATGCTGAAATCTAGACTATATCTACTCTTAAGGTTCTACGGATACAACAGGCAAAAAAACTAAAGGTTACATTCATAGCACACAATTCTTGTGTATCTACATAACTCACACCTAAACTTTCATATTTACACATATAACACTCAAATCTTTAATAATTATATCAAAATTAGCACCATTACCGCTTTTTAAAAGTCAAATACACATTTTAATGCATAGGTTTAAAGTACTAAAGAGCCATGTACGAAATATTAAAGTTTAGATGCGAGATATGTAAATCATAAGAATTGTGAGCTATGTATGTAGATTTTCCATAACTTAAGCAAGCCTCAAGAGTCATTGGACCGTCACTCATGCTAAGGGAGCGCGATAATGAAGCAGTTTCTTCCAAAAAATTTATTTACCTAAAATAATCTCAGGCGCCCTGTAATGCCTCGTCGAAACAATCGAGTTATGATCGTGATTCTCAAATGCAGTACTACCAAAATCAATCAGCTTTATGGCACTTGACTTCGGCAAGTACCTGAATTGGATCTCATCTTGTGAATATCTCTGTAGCATCCCAAGCAATCATTCAATATAACCACTTTAGTCCACATACTTTGAGTTAATAAAAGAGTAAAGTGTCAAAATAATCCCCTAACTATTTACATGACGTCATTTTAGTCACAAAGTATGTCAAAGTGGCAAATTAGTCCTCAAACTTGATTAATATAAACTGAAATTGTCCGTTTAGGCCCATTAAAAGATTATGAATATGAGGATTAAATTGATACTTTTATAGACTGACTAAAATGACCCACGTCAAAGTGTAGGGGGACCATTTTGAAGCTTTTCTTGAAAAAATTAATGTTTCCAACATCAATATAACCAAATACCTTGCAGGTTGGAACTTTTATATATTCAGAAGACACAAGAAGAATGTTTTCTGGCTTCAGATCAGTGTGAATAAGTTGTAAATCATGCATATCTATGTCGCAAAGGAAAAACAAAATGTTAAGTCTGACCCTCAACGACTAAAGTAAAAACAATAGAAGGTCCATTAAACCAGGGAGTAGTTGACAAAAAACTAATGGAATCAGCTAACAGAGAATAGTAAACACACATGCAACAGCTTCCAAAAGCTGGCGTCCGAACTCTCGAACGAGTTCCACAGGAAATGGGCAGTATTTATTTTTCCTTAAGAAATCATATAAGCTTGGCCCAAGCTTCTCACACACCTGATAACAGCATTGAATTTCATTCAAATAAAACTTACTAAGCATAACCCCTCATAAACAAATCTTAAAAATTCATGATGCAATTAAAATTCAAAGCATTCTCTTTTTTTCAGAGATGAAATATCATAAAAATCAATTTTTTATAGGCTGCACCTACAATCCATATAGAGGCAATAAACTAATCTCACAAATAATCACCACTAAAGTATAATGCCAAATAAGAAAACCGTTCAACCAATTAATTATCTAAAATTTTGAGACGAAGGGTAAGATAAAATCTAGTTGTGCTTACAATGCATATGTGGTTCCGATAGTCAAACCACCTTTGAATCTGGACGCAACTACATTAAAATAAAACAAACGGAAAACTTTGAGTAAAAAACAATGGTTGTATTCATTAAAAAAAAGGCGCATTTACATACATAGCACACAATTCTTATGTATTTACATATCTCACACTAAGAACTTTCATATTTACACACAACACGTAAATCTTTAATATCACATAAAAAATAGCACTATTACCACTTTTTAAAAGTGAAATAAACAATTTGATGCATAAGTTTAAAGTACCAAAGTGCTATGTATGTCAATATGAAAGTTTAGGTGTGAGATATGTGAATACATAAGAATTATGTGCTACATATGTAAATTTCCCTAAATAAAAAAAATAAAAAAATAGGACATACCGGGATCCTTCACGATCATTCTTAGACAGGCTATTAAGAACATCAATTTCGATCATTGCAGCATGGCGATATTTTCGCAAGCTCCGAACCACCTTGATAGCTACATACTCACGTAGTTCCCTATCCCAACACTCCAAAACACGGCCAAATGTACCTGCAACACTGGCCCATGCTGACCAACGGCGACTGGAAGAGAAATAAAAGAGGCAATAAAGCAACTCATAGTATTTTGAGCATACCTTCCCCAATCTTGCTAAGAATTTTATCTGTATTTGAAAAAAAAAACAAAAAACATAAAAATAACAGGTATTCAATAAGCATAAAATGTTCTTTTGAAGAGAGTAAAAGTAAACACTTTTATGGAACTATCATTACAAAAAAAACAATTTCCTCCACATAGATGATAAAGACGACAGAGATAAGAAAACTGGACCAGTAATTTGATTAAAATGAAGCTCTGATATCGATATAAGAGAAAAATAATGAGGGAAAACATAAATGTTTGTGCATTTGCTGTCTCTTTCAAAGGGTTATTTGTTGCCTTTAATGAAAAATCAAGAGCAAAATGCTTTAAAAAATATTATATCAAATTCCTTACATCGAGGGGTGAGGTTCTCTCCAAGATCAAAAACATAATGCCCCTCTTGATCATCTTCCCTCCATGGCGGTGAAGCCCTACGAGCTGTTGAAACCGTTGTGTCAAACCTATCCGCCTACATAGATCCAAGGACAAACATTTCCACACGAGTTCAAAACCCAATAAATCAAATCCCAAACCCAGGAACCCACGCCACAATCCTATAAAACCCTAGATGTAAGCCTAACCCTAATATCATGGGGCACAAGAAACACCTCTCGATTGGTTGGTGCCACATCCCATGCAAGACGAAGTCTCTTCCTTGTGTGAGTACTCTCCATCTAAAATGAGCAAAAAGCTATAACCTTTTGTAGAAGTTTATTTTCAAAATTTTGGATTCTGCAACCAAAAGATTAGAATCAAGGTTTATTAGCAATAAACATGCACAATGCAATTTCATGCCTAGAACAATCAACCCCAACAATTTCATGCCTAGAAAAAGACTTACAAAATTAAAAAAGTGTGTTAAGAGAACTACTAATGCAAATCTAACCAAAATCACTACATATGGAAATAACTTTCATAACTAAGTACGTACTAATGACCTCAAGCTTCAATTAAAATTACCCCCATTGACCATAAATTTCAACTTCAAATTCAACAAGAAAGATTGGTAAAATGACAATGTAAATCTCAGTGCACGATATATATACAAATAAAATTAAGAATCTTTTTATATGAAATGCCTACACAATATTAATCACATGTCTTCTTTGACAAATTCAACCACATCTAAAAACTCTAGAGGTGTATATTAACCAAAACAATGTTTAGATTTCAACATCTTTCTTCTCCAAAGAGCATAATTTATTTGATAAATAAAATAGTCAAGCGTATGCAGGCCATCCTAAAACACAAACATCATGATATTTCAACATTCAGAAACCAAAATAAAATGTACAAATATTATCCAAATTACAGACTTACTAGGGCACAGCCTGAGGAATTTCCTTATAATCTGCAAATGTTCGTTTTCTTGCATGAAATCATTCATATGCTACTCAATCGTGACTACAACAGTAAATCTCATTAATTCACGCTAGGGTTTAAACCATTTCTTTCAAAAATCAACTCGCGATCTGTAATAGAAATTCACGATGATTATCAATCATTCCATAATCTCGATTTCAAATTCCTTTCAAGAAATCACCGAAGACGGCCGTGAGAAAGACGGAAGAAGAAAATAAAAGAGGAACTAGGGCACAAACCTTTACATATCGTGCTCCTCGCCGATCCAGTAATCCTCTCCCTTACTTTCACCTGCTGTATCTCCAGCTCTCTCCCCTTCTTAATCCCTCTGGTTCGCTTGTTCTCCAGCAGCTCCCGATCTCTCCCCCCCTTCGTACTTTCTTCTGCCTCCCGTCGCCCGCGATCGTGATAAAAGGGCGGGTCGGGTTACCCGGGAAACAAATTTTGGGCCGATTCGATTCGAATGCTCCGCGAGGTATTATAACGAATGCCATCGAATATTTGGAGTGGTGGGTTGAGCATAATTAGGGGCCTCTCATTGCCTACCCTTCTATTCTTATGTATTCATTAGGGGCATTTACATAAGAATTCAAGTTTAGGTGTCACATATGTAAATACATTGGAATTGAGTGGTATGTATGAAAATCTTTCATTTCTATGCATATTACCTAAAGTTTGACCTTTATACTTACATGTATGTCCGAAGAATGCATGCATGGATCTAAATGAAAGCCGATCGTAGCAAAGACCGGCCGTCTCACTCATTTGGCCTGCCATCCTAGCCAACCGACCGGACACTCTAAACAATCGTCTACCACCTCAATCAACCGGCTGGCCACCTCACCGGGTGGACCTATTAAAAAAATTATGTCAAATATACGAAAATTTGACAAACAAATGACAATATGTCGGATATAAAAAAAAAAGTGTCTCACACACAAAAATATGTCAGAGAAGATAATTATCACATGTAACTCTTATGGGGAAATGAGAATATTTTTCATCTGTAAATAGGATAATATCCTTCATGTCAAAAGACTCATGTCATTCAAACTTTCCAAAAGTTTAGGTTTCGTTCTCTCATTATCTTGTAATGATTTCTTTAAATATATAAATAGACCCGAGAGCTTGGGAACACCCCAACTTTGCTCCACTTGGGACAATCGTTGCATCACTCATTCTCACCTCTCTCTCTCTCTCTCTCTCTCTCTCTCTCTCTCTCTCTCTCTTCTTAATTATATTATTCATTTGAAGTGATTCAGCTTAATTATATTATTCATTTGAAGTGATTCAGGTACATATTTGAATTCTACTTTCTGAAAGGTGTGGTAAGCATAAATTATGTTATTAACGAGAAGAGAAGTGGCTCAGAGAGAAGGAACTCACAACAAAGACACTGACGATATGGAGTGCACCAAAGAGTTTGTAGCTTGGCAAATTCAGAAGTTAAATGATCAAATATTGTATGCCAGTGGAGATGTGGTGACCTGGGGAGTAGAGCAGCACCCTGTTGGCTTTGGAAAGAGAATGTGGCTCTCATTACTTTGATAGTGTTGATTAGGCATCGATCGACTGACATCGATTCAAAAGCGTCGAGGTGCTCCGATAGCCCTAGAATGCATCCTCTCGATAAACCCTTAAGGTTGAGCCTCTACAGAGATTCAAGATGGAACTTTTGAACTCTTCATATCTATTCTACCATTTTTTACAATACATATCTCTTGGTGACTGAAACGAGTTACACGTCTAATTTCTTATTGAACATCACGCACTTTTGCCCATGATAACTGAGAAAAGGATAAATCCTCCTCTATCCCATTTGATTCAGAACAAAAGAATGAGTCGCTCCCACCTCCTAAAAAGGAAAAGTCTCATGAATGATAAACAGTCCATAGTTACTCGAGAACACTCGCGCGATAGGTGCATCTTCTCATCCACCGAAGGAAGGAAAGTTCGAGTTTGACAGTAAACTCTTGCTTGGAATGACCAATAAAGCACCGTGTCGATTCAATATAAACAAATATATCTGAGGATAAACTCAATAGGGCATAGCGCTTGTTATGATCCTCTCATCCCTCCAGTCATGCACATAAGCAACTTATGTATCTCATTCTCTCCTTCTTCTTGTAGTATTTTGTCTAAGAGCTAAGAAAACTGGGAAACTAAGACATCAAAAATTGAATTTTCTTAAGCAACATGAAAGCCAAAATACAAAGTAGACCTCATGGGCATAATGCATGAAAGCCACTGAATATGCACTTAATGATCTAGTTCTGACCAGTTAAATCATACTTATTAACCATGCTTTCGGAGATGACAATTTACAAGCCCAGAAGGACCTATCAATCACCTCTGAAACTCGTCGACATTCATGTGAGTTCCTCCGATCAGACTAATTGAGCTCGAGCTTTTAGGTGTGCTCCTCCGCCCAATCGCTCACATTTCTCGTGTTGTTTTTCTAAGCTCTCATGTACGAGTACAATACTCCTATCGAGTTCATTGATAGTTATCTGGCTGTTTCATGGAGCTCGATGAACAACTTTTTGAGGCAAACGAAAGGGAATTATAGTTCATCATCATTTTTGTACCCATTTATTTGCCACCTGACGCCCCCATCAAGAATCTCCTCAACAGCGAGTTTACTTAGGCTCCGTACAAAACAACATATAACATAGTTTTTTTGTTTATTTTTTAAACTTCTGTGGTGTGTAAAAAGAGACGAGCAATGGGGAGGGGGACAGACATCTCTCTCTCCAAAACTCTCTTTCTCTCTCTAAAAATCCCTGACCTTCATCCCACCTTATTCACGATGTCTTTTCCAGATTGTATGGGTTCACAAATTATACAAAATGATGTATCTTAAAGTTATTGATCAACAAGAGGGTTAATCAATAATCATAACATTGGTTTAAGATTAATTTAGTGCAAATACATGCATCATTAAGTTAACATTTCTTCCACAGGAGAAGGGCATTTACATACATACACCCAGTTCTCATGTATTTACAAATTTAACACCTAAACTTCAATTTTCTTACATGCATACCACCTTAATTATCCATGAAAAAAATGTATCTCAATTTTGAAAAAATAAAAATGGTGATATTTTCATGTGCTGTGAAATGATTTGATCCGTATAAATATAAAAAATAAAGTTTCGGGCAGATACTAAACCTTAGAAAAAATTACATATATACCACACAATTTTTATGTATTTACATATCTAAGTCCTAAAGTTTAACATTTACGTTTATAATACTTTGGGAAATGAGTATTTTAATTTTAAAAAGTTAATAATAATAATATTTTTGATGTGATATTAAAGATTTGAGGGTTAAGTAGATAAAAAAAGAAAATTTATGTGTTGGATATGTAAGAAAATTACGCACGCAGAAATGCATGCAGTGAACCAATAAAAACACTCAATTTACAAAAAGTGTATGCCAGTAGGCCTCACTTTTAAATTGTTTTTATTTTATTTTATTGAACAGTGCAAGCAAATTGTGTATGTTGTCCACACAGAATAATTACTCGTAAAAACATAAGAATTGTGTGTTTTTGTATATGTGATTTGAAAGATTTGGTTGATGTAAATACAAAAAATGAAGTATAGGGGCTAGATATGTAAATAGATAAAAACTTGGTGGGTATGTATGTAAATGCCCCCATTTTTAATCAAATATTCTAAATTTTATGATCATTTATGACATATTAAGATTTAACAATCAATGTGGTTTGGAGAAGCCGATGTTATGAAAACCAACATAACTATTAATAGCCAACACATTAATTAATTAAGTCTAAGAAAACCGCTTATAAGCTATATATAACTCCTATATTACACCATGCATTTATTATCAACATATATGTTCATTGCACTAATCTTGATGAACCTTTTTTTACATAATTATGATTTTGTGATCTCAAAATTTTTTAGTGAAACAACTTTTTGATGATGCCTTAAATTCTTAAGGGTCTGTCTGGGGCAGCGGTGCGTTGGAAGTGTGACAGTGCGCCATAGTTTTGTCTGTTTTACTAAACTGTATTTTGACAGATTCTTTAAAAAACTTCCACTGAAATCTATGTTTTCTCATCTGCCTGACTAGGTGTGGTGGCAGCTTTTTAGCTGAGGTCTGACTTTTTTAAAAAAAAAATTGTAATAGTCACTATAATTTTGAACATCATATTATTTTTCAGCAGTTTGACAGCTAATTTTTAATAAGATGCAACATATCAAATATACCCTAAATATTTTTTAAAAAGAATAAAATATAAGAAGATTTACATACATGACTCTCACTTCTTATGTATTTACATGGCCAACACCTAACTTCAATTTTTACATTTATTCCTTGGGAAATTTACCTGATACCACACAAATTTTATGTATTTTCATATCAAACACCAAAAATTTAATATTTACATTTATAGCAACTTTTTATCATAAAATTATATATATAAAAAAACTATTGTATTTTTAAAAGATATTGTTGATTGTAATATTTTAGATGTTTGTTAAAGATTTGAATTTTATGCATTTAAATAAAAGTGTAAATTTTTATGTATAGATTTGTAAATACATGAAACTTCTGTGCTCCCATGCAATAAATTAACTTGAATTCCACCTGAAACTAATAACTCCTCCATTCAACCATTAATGTCATAACAGTTCTCTTCCATTTAGTTTTCACATTTCATGCTATAAATACTCACACATGGATGCATCGTCTTCTACCTCTGTTTTCCCCTGCCTTCTCCCCAAAACCAGAAAGCACAGAACAGATCGATCATGGCAACGGGGAAGAAGAAAGGCTTTCATAAATCCATCAAAATCTACTTCTCCATGCTGAAGAAGATGCCCACCTCTCTCACCCAACTATCCTCTACCCCTTCTTCCTCCTCCAGCCTCCTCTTCTCCGCCTGCAAATACCCTAAAACACCATCTTTTGCTCTTAATCGCAACTCCGCCACCACCACCTCCGCCGCCGCGGCCGCCGCCACCCTCTCCGACGTGGACCGTTTCCTCCAAGAGAACTTCCCGACGTGGACCGTTTCCTCCACGAGAACTTCCAGTCTCTATACCCACCACCGCCGGCCACATCTAACTCTTCGCAGGAGCCAACTTCTCCGACCTCCAGCTCCGGCGAGGCGGCGGAGTTTTCCGGCGGAGGGGTGGCGGTGATGACGTTTTCGAAAGACCCTTATGAGGATTTCCGGCGATCTATGGAGGACATGATGGAAGTTCGTCACGTGGATAAATTGGGGCCGTTGGATTGGGATTTTATGGAGGAGCTTCTGTTGTGTTATTTGGAGCTGAATGAACAAGGCGTTCATAAATATATTCTTAGAGCGTTTACGGATCTAACGGTCAGTTTTCGCCGGAGAGAAGGGGAGGAGCGGCGGAAAGCTTCGATGAGGAGGCGGAGGCTTGGGAGAACGGAGAAAATTCCGGTGGCCGGAGGGCGGTTTCCGGCGGGTTGGTAGTTCGAGTTTACAAGATTTTTTTTTCTTTTGTGTGATTCATGTAAATAAATAAATAAATAAATGAAAATTGCCTCACTAATCATATTTGAAGTGGAGTCCTCGTCGATAACTGTCATGTATAGTATCATATATATATATATATATATAATGAACTAAATATTGATTTTTCCTTGTACTAGGCTCCATGATGAGAGCCTGCGCTATGCGCCTAAATATTCGAGAATCCAACGCCACTGGGGATGAAACCCATGACCTGTGGGGACTTACAGTGAACCCCGCCAACCAACAGGCCACAGCTACGAACAAATCACGATTGGCGGTATAACAAAATTCTTATGTGCCGCCAATCGTGATTTGTTGGTAAAGCAACCTCTTTAAAGGTTCATATGTTTCCTTAGGCCACAAGTTTGAGTCCCCCTCCGGCTGTTATTCATATGCATTTATAATTCTAACATATCAATATGGTATTTATGTTTATAATACTTTGTTGTCTTAACTTAAATACGAGATGTATGTCATATTATAAAAGGTTTATAATAGTATTCAAGTGTTAAAATTAAGAATATTAAGAATTAGGCGTTAGAAATATAAATACAAGAATAGGGTGATATGTATGTAAATTCCCTCCATTATTTTTTTGTAATTATTTATCATAATACTATTTGATCATATATCACATTCAATACACACATGGTTGTTTTTTAGAAATTGTTATAATGAGAAACAAATTTTTATTTTTCAAAAAAATTAAAATTAAAATATATATATATATATATATATATATATTCATAATAAATTTACATTTATTTTTACAAATAATTATAACTAAAATAAATATTTATTTGCAGCCGCAATAAGCGGATCTGAAAATCTTTGATGTGGTAGTTAAGGAATCCAACATATGGAGCCATGCTTGTCGCTTAGTTTAGGGATTTGGTTAAATATTCCTTTTTTTCATTGGGATCCAAATTTTAACATTAATGATCGGTTGCCCCCAAAAAGTTAATTTCTCATATTAAAAAACTTTTATAGCACATGCCATTATAATTTTGTTTAACAAAAAGATATCATTTTGCAAGTTTGATAACCATTTTTTTTTTAGCCCCCAACCAGACACATGTGTCCAATCACTCGATCCTGCACTGCAATGCAGATGCACTCAGGCGGGCTTAAACCCGTGAGCCCAGGGCCCCAAAGGACTCACGACTGACAACATAGCTGCCAACTAAAAAGTCACATAAAAAAAAAATTCAATATTTAGATGCATTGTACTCAAATAATTAACATCACATAAAAAAAATATGGCTATCAATCCTTTTTTTTTAAATAAAATAAACATATTCATGCACAAGTTATTGATATAAACAGCAATTTTTAGGAGTTGGATATTTCAAAACTTAGGACTTGTGTTGTATGCATGTAAATTTTCATTTTCTAATGTTCTAATGGCATCCTACAAATTGATGATTCACAAACATTCACTTAACTCTTAACATATTTTCTTATCTAACACCTAAAGTTAATTTTTACATACATAAAAATCATTATTAAAAGCAAAATGATGAAAGATAGTGTAAAGAAGGATATAACTTAATAAATAGGAACAAAAAAATACAAGCGCAAAATTTATTTTTGCATCAATTACCAGCTGCTGCAATATGTGCCCTAACAAGTTGCTCATACAATGCTCTATACTTTTCTGGAACAAAATGCTTGAACCTATTGAACAGAATGAAAAAGTTTAGTATACATAAATAGATGTAATTCACAAGTGCAAAGGACAATAATGGAGGCAGGTATAAACTTAATCATGCATGAACAAAAGGAAGGTTTACATACACACTGACTTAAGTCCCATGTATTTACATGTCTAACATCTAACTTCATTTTTTACATATAGGCTGCCAGATCTATGCATGATAAGTTGTATTTCGCTATTTACAAAATCTAACAACTGGATGATATTGTTGAACTACCGAACCGATGTATTTACGCGTGCCACGATCAAATCATTGAGAATTTGATAAAAATCAAAATAAGGGTTGGGATTTTATCATTAGTTTTGATATTTAAATCAGAATTTGAAAAATGGATGAAAGAGGATGCTAGATTTGTAAATAGTAATGTTCCGGGTGCTATGTATGTATTTGCCCCTAAAAGTTTAAATGGTGATCCTTTTGATGTGATATGAAAGATATGAGAGGTACATATCCGAAAAGCAAAACATAGGTGTTAGATATGTAAATACATAGATATTAGATATTGGGTGGTACGTACCTAAATGCCCCTATAAAAAATCATTTGCTGGATTAAAGGTGGTCCCGAATGCATTTAATAGGCGGAATGGTGAGTCAAAGGTTATTGTTTAAGGAGTTATTAAGACCTGTTTGATTGTGGCTCAGTTAAGCAAAGCCAAACTACGGCAGGCTTAAGGCTGAAGTCTTGAGAAAGGTTAGATTGTTTTGTTGGTGAAAGAGAGAAGCTAACTTGAGTCGAAAAAAAGGGAAGAAAATAGTTTTGTTTGTATCTAGCTTAAGCTCGTGTGCTTGAATTAATTCATGCTTTCATGCAAACAAAAGCGACATGAAGCGAAGCAACTATCAAAACTCGAGGTGGTCATAGGAGGAAGATGGCATCGATACCGATCGGCACAAGGTAGAAGGAACGAAAGCTCATACCATCCTACAAATAAACACAACGATGGAGGAGGGTTGACTTGATGCCGTGTCAAGTTATGAAAGGAAGGTGAAATGATTTCACTAGGAAGAGCAAAAAAAAAGCTTGATCAAAGAAGCAGTACCATAGAAAAAACTCGGCAGACCAAAGAGGTAGATGAGTGAAATAGACACACAATTGTGAGAAAATTGGATTAGGGTGGAAATGCAAATAGCCTTTCACACGCTTTAAGGCTAGTTTTGCGACAAGTGACAACTTCGATAAAAATGCTTCAAGCAAATAGGCTCTTAAGAACTCAATTCTATCCAAACAACAAAAATAATGACGAGTGTATTGAATGAAATACCTCGAGTTAAGATGAAGAAATTGCGTGAAGCATATATCATGAAGTTTCAAATGCAAGCAATTATCTCTAGAAAATAAATATTTTCAATAAAATTTGTGGTGAGTTGTGATATAAAGGACTCAAGAAAGACTTGAAGCTATCTCTAGTGGGAAGCATCTCAAAAGCAAGTTAAAAAACTACAACAATTAAGGGCTGTATGGTACTAATGTTAGACACTCCAATAAATATTGTAATTTTGGATTTACTAAATCCTACCAACAACAGAAGTTAAGATAAAATTGAGAAGAAACTGAATTTACTAAATCTTAGATTTAAAATTGTCATTTTTTGTCTGACAAGATTTACGTTATATCCTACAAGATTTACGTTAAATCCTACTTGAATCTGTTACCATAATTGAATTGATATACAAACAACAAATGATGGAAGATTATGCAAAAAAACCAAGGTGAAAACCAAGATAAAAAAAAAATCTGAGGTAAATGCCATATATGACACCCACTAAAGCAAAATTCAAACTATAGTTATCAAAGCAAATAATGAGATATGACATGAATCTCATAAAACCATAATAAAATAGTACATTGTATGGAAAACACTATTTTAATATACATGATGATATATAAAAAATAAATTTTAAAAATAAACCATCTAATACACATTGAACGCAACACAAATTTAATAAATAAGCAGGAAGATATTCACTGATACTCTTTATAGTCTTGTAATAAAAAAACCATATAGAGTACAAAAATTAGATTGATTGCTATTATGAATCTAGAAAACTAATAAGTTGGAAGTATGCGACTGAGAAATTAGAACAATTTGAACAAGATTCCTAACATTCAAATCACAAGGAAATGGATAACAAGACTAGAAAATATCAAACTGTAATGGAGTAGACATAACTAATGACACAATAGAGATCACATGAAGAAAGCCTCACAAATAGTTATTTTGTCACAAAACCCTCCCCAAGGGGTGTACAATAATCACTCACGACGTCATTTGCTTGAGAAGAGGAAAACACAAGAGAAGCACAAAATGGAAAAAGTATAACCGAATCTTCTAAATGAATACAACATTAAGGGGCCGTTTGAGATCCTTTTTGTATTTTGTTTTCTATTTCTTATTTTTATTTTATTTTATTTATGTTTTGAATTGAAATAAAACATGTTTGGTATGTTTGATTAAAATAATGTTATTTTTTAAAATACTTACAATATCCAAAAGTTATTTTAAGTGTTTTAAAAAATAAGTTCTTTGCTTTAGAATGAAAAAAAAAAACATGATAAAAAACATTGAACAGACACATTTTTAAAAACAAAGAAAAAACAAAAACAAAATTGATCCCAAAAAGCCCTAAACTTACAAAAGAAGGTTACTTCTAGATATAGAATAATGCAGAACATCGCCCAATAGATCCGGGGCAAAAGGGTGCCCATACATGATGAAAATGGGAGGAACATGGATTTTCATGAGAGTTTTGTTGGTTGAATTAATATATATATATATTAGATAGCAATAAAGGAAGATTGCTACCAATGATTGATGAATGAGTTTTACATTTAGTAATGCAATATAAGAGAAATAAGAGAGGGACTTAGGTGGTATGGTGTTTAAATAGTTGGCTTTAAAAGGCTTTGGTTAATTGTTAATTAAAATATGAAAAAAAGGTGATTGCATATAACTTGCGTACAAATAATTTGGAGTGGATACAATTTTTCTTGTGTTAAATATCCAAAGATTATTTATATGAAGTGTGCGATGTTCACAGATCATCAAAGATTATAATATATCATCATCGAGAGGAATTGAAGATATGCTATAAGCTTTGGAATATTAATTGCATTAGTTTTGCATAAAAAATTAGCAGTAAGGTTGTATATTTTGGCATATAGAGATATTTATAAAAAAATATTCATAAATATAGATGCCATAGTAATCATAACGAAAAACAATTTTATTAAAATGGTGATTTTAAAAAACAAAAGATTTTTTTTAGAATACATGGAGTAAAAAATTAATAGAAAAAAGACAATTTGGAATTCATAAATATCATTTAATATTACCACAAAAGCTTTAAGATAAGGAATTTACGCATACCCTTCAAGAAGAAAAAGCCTCCCAGGAACAGAGAATAAACTTGCAATGGACTCCAAAACAGATGCTATCTTCATAGTCTTGGATTTCAATGCCCTCATAAAACTAACGAACTCTTTATATTCTTCACCAGAAAGTTTTTCTTGCACCTGTTTCATAATCAATAGTAAGTCCAAAGAAAAACATAGATGCTATGGAAAAATTGTAAGCAAATCATTTCACGATTAAAGAATCTTAAAAAGGGTTCAATTCAACTCAACTCAACTCAGCTAAAATCATTATTACGCAAATGGTAAAATTTGTCATTTAAAACTGATAAGAATGATCAGCTTTTGGAAAAAAAGCCCAAAATGATCCCAGATTAAGCAAATTACACAACAGGCCGCAGAGTAGCAAAGAAAAAAGATTCCCAAAAAACAGAAAGAAACTTCCTGCATCTAATATGAAAGAACACCCAAAGTTTGAAAAAGGTATTAGCTGCAACAATATTTGTTATTTTCTAAGGTTTGCAGCCAACAGGCTTTACAGAATTTCAAAGTCTAGAAGACTTTCCAATATTACACTAACAATATGCAAGTTTATAGCTTGTTTTTGTATTTTCAAAACTAAATTTAGCCCCTTGATGTTAGTAGAACTAAGGCGCAAGTATACATTAAATATTAGCTGTATTTACACAAAAGTAAACAAAAAATTACACTTTTCAAATCTAATTTAGAGGTGTTCAGAAAACTATTTCAAAAATAAAATCATCAGCAGTTTGCGACTGCATTTGGGTCATTGATCAACCCATCACACTTGATCTAGCTCGTCGAGGCTTCCTAGTTAGGTTTGTTTCTTCTGTTGACCTCGATCTACTCATCGAGTTGATTTTCCCTTTGCTCTAGTATTCCCTCTCAGGGGTCTTGAATCGAGGGCTAATGCTTTTTGGTGTCAGCATCTCACCCCTCGCTGATGTGCTAACCCCATCACCTTTTTGTGGTTGAAGTGGCTAAAAGATCTACTTCATGATATTATAACAAGGCTGGACAAGGAACAGTGAAGAAGCAGAACTAAGATTATTGGTCAGTGGGATTAACAAATTAATTTGTCGTAAGCTACTCCTGAATAAGTTTCAAGTAACAACCAAAACCCCAAAAATATACTATTATGACAAAAAGGTTGCTACCAACATATCACACAATCCCATCCATCATTATTGACCAAATATGTGTAGCTAGATAAACATGTCATTAATAAATAATTTAAAATGAAAATTTATGTGTTTTATATAGTCCCTCCTCATAGCAAACAACCGCATCCAGACCAAGGGATTCACTATTGTTGAAGTGGAAGAAATGGACCTTGCCTTATAGGAAGACAACAACACATGAATTGCAGAGGAATTTTGTGGGCATTATTAAATAGGATTCAAATTAAAGAACCATGCAGCATATAACTTTCATTCTTATTAGGATATATTTATTTCATCCATGGTTTTCTTCACTGTAAACCTAATTCAAGGGGTCCAATTTCGGCCAACAGGAGAAAGTGTATTTCACTTCTCTTCCTCCCTATTTATGTTATACTTTCTTCTTTCCAAAATTTAGGATTTAATTAAAGATCGGGTAATCAGTTGTAAGGATCCAAAGAAAAGTAGGGTAAAATTACATAACCAAATGGTGAAAAATAGAAACTTGAGGGAACCCATCATCAATAGCGTCAAGCTTGATTGACAAGATTTAAGTTACTAATTATTTAAATATATAGCGTGAAGACGTGCAGTCAATTATATTATTAGATTAACAATTTTCAATTTTTTAGACAACATATCAAGAGTGGAGATAACTTGTCATTGCTGGTCCCAAGCACCGAATGTGAAAAATGAAGAGTTGCGTTAGGTAGTCGATTGTCAGCATAAAATTTGTTGAAAAATTATGACATAAATCCTCTAGAACATTTTGTAAATGCTAGGGCGTCCCCTAGAAGTGACACAATGTATGACCAAAATATAGTGAAAAGTTTACAATGGCCGCTACACCTGCGCCTGGGTGTAGAGTCAAAAAAGGGTTCCCACATTTCAGATGGATCCGAGTAAATTTTGAATAATAACATAAAAGACGAAAATATCCTTCAATTTATGCATGCCATAAGTAAATTTTTGATAGAAAATATGATTTAGGACGAATTTAGAGCACCTTTTAATAGGCTAAATTGGGATATTCTAAAACTCTAAGGCTAAATTGAACTTTTAATAGTCGGGAGCTATTCGGGTTTTTACTCTTTCAAAAAGTGAAATACATCTTTTCATGCATAGATAATGTGTCATATATATAGAAATTGATATTTAGGTGATAGACATGTAAATACATAGGAATTAAGTGTTATGGATGTAAATCTTCCAAAAATAAAACTATAAACAACAATACCTGTGTCAAAAATGCAGAACCTCTAGATTCCTCTTTCCCATGGGATGATGGATAATGTTGACACTCTTT